AGCAACGCGCACCAGACTAGCCGGTGCGATCATGCGTTTTGTGCAATTCAACCCATCGAACAATTGTCTATTAATGATTTTCATTGCTTTGCACTTTTGTCTATGCAAAAACAGTTCAAAAATTGAAAAATAGTTAAAAATTTTACGCACCAGCGCATGAAAGCTGAATTCGAAACCTTGAAAGGTGAATATCTTTCCGTGATCCCCGAGTTAATAGTTTAACTGCCAAAATTCTCACGAGGCCATAGATGATACTCAACAGCGAGAGTACGCTGAATTTGAATAGGCAAGGTTGATGGGCAGCGGGTCATTACCCTGAAATTCCAGCCTCCTAGACTCCGTGGTTCCTGAGATACTAATTTACCCGTAAAAAACTTTCACGGGGCGTACGTGTTACCCGTGGGTACGGGAAGGCTGAATTTAAATTTGCTGCGCCACCCGTTGGGGGAATGGGAAGAGGAATGTTTCAATCCATTAAATCGCATAATTATTATATTTTATCGTTACTGAACTGTATTGATTTTACTATATTGTTTCGTCGCCAAAAGGAGGCGATATGGCAGAGAAAAGTCATGCGTGAAAATCACGGCTGAGGGATGTCTTATAACTTTTTAACAATCAAAATGTATAAGATGTCCAAAACATTCACAAGTATATATTTGCCAAAAATGGTGCATGAAACTTGAAGATTTATGCGGAAAGGCTCTTTAAACAGTCTGTGTCAACAAAACCTAGGTGGCGACAAACCAGGCTTCTTGATGCAGTCACACAGTAAACAGTACGAATGGTTATTTTTTACAATTTAACATGTACACTTTTGTTAGAAATGTTTTACCTTTAGCATAAAAGGGAAAAGGGACTGTCGGCTGGGACGGTAAAATTCGACTGTGGGGCCGCGTGAAATCGTAACCTCTGGCACGTATAATTACTTCCCACGAAGGTGCTGTCAGCAAAACGCGCCTTCAAGTTCGTCGTATCCGTACGCAAAACTCAGGCATTTATGATAATTGATTTTACGCTTCAACAACGCTCCAGATGCGGTAGTATTCTCATAAATTTCTATTTCCTTGAATGTTTGATTAGCGACAAAGAAGAGTGGTGAAAAAGTTGAAATCCGAATATTTGACTTGTCCGTGCGTGGGGAAAATGCGAAAGCGGAAGATAATTTTAACGTTTAGACTTTCACATGAATAGTAAATAATGTCACAAAATTCCAGCTTCCTGCTTGTTCTGGATGCAGCAAGGTAAGTAGATACTATAACTGTGCAAAATTGCAACTTTGCCTGAGCGTAACGCGAGACTTAGGCGTATTTTGGGCCTAAATTTAAAAATCACACATAGGTATAATCAAGTATAAGCAACTATGGGTAAAGACGGATACAAAGAACAGCAACAAAGATAACTTCATCAAGTTTTTCCTGTACGATAACGAAAACAAGAAAGAGGCAGAGATGCCCGGGAAGTAGCCCGAGCTCTTTTATATACAATTAGAAATATTCAAGATACTATATAAGTGAATTATGCTGAACAGAACCGGACCAAAGCCTTTCGCTCTAGCATCATGCGATAACATTCGAAGGCGATAAGAGAGCCTCTTTTGTTTCTGAAGTTGTCGTATCACAAGACCGGGGAAAATCTTCAGTTTTTACCTGAAAATCATAACTTCTGATGACCAATCATAGCAGAAATTTCAGCCAGTTAGAGTGAGAGACCACACTGTTGTGATTTCTAATATGCATTATAACAAAGTAACTCGTAATCTCCGGATATTCACAGTCAAAAGGTGTCAAACACAGCAGAAGAGAACTGCAAATGATGAAACTTCTGGCGGTACAAATGATTAGATATGTTTGAACGAGAGATTAATTCCCCCGGACAGTGAGATGATTATTAAAGTATGCTACAGTGATTTATGAAATAGAGAGGAGCAGCATGTATGCATGAAGCCAGATTGGTTGAATTTTACCAGCAAATGAAAAAATCACAAAAAATTTCTCGGACATTTAAATTAATGGACACACATTTCACACAAACTTCATGTGTCGTTACTAACTGATTTAAAATCGCCGGAAAAAAAGGTGGCTCGTGCCCATCTCTCGATAGCGATCTGCTGTTTTCGGCGTACATAAAAAGACCAAGTGCGTTTTTCGTTGCCTGAATTTTAAAGCAGGGGTCCTCACCCTTAACTGCCGATCCGTTTTATATATTGACGAGATCCAACTGTGGTAACGATATGTATACGACTTGATGGACCGAAACATTTCTTACCTGATTTAACATTTCTTTATTTCTACATCTCCCTCTTCTTCACCCTTTTCACCTCCTCTATTATTCATTCTTACATTTTTTAACAAAATTTCCATTTAACCTTAAATTATATATTTCAAACATTTATATTATTCCACTATCGCAATTCTCCTTGCTGTTGATGTAGCTGGCAGCTTTTTCAGTGGTCTCTATTTTGAATTTCTCTCATCCACATAATTCCGCTGAACCATCCTATTGCGCATCGGCCACTGAACGCGGACCTTCGCTGTGTTCTTTCAACAATGCGTGTATACCAGTCAATAATTCCTTTTGTCCATCCGTTGTTTTTTTATTTATTCTTGCCGTATGACTAATTCAGCTTTTTCTTCTAACTTTGTTAGGCTGGAACCGCAGCACTTCACTGGAGATCTGCTACAGTTTTACGCCATGCAGTGTGCGTCGTTCCACGGCTGGCTGGGCCATCGTCAACTTTCCCTCCTCAGTAATTCTGATAATTCCCGTTTCATTTGTTTCCTTCCATTTCATATATTCGTTTAACACAAATTATATGTATACTTGAAATTTTATGTACACGGCGAGATGTGAAACATATACGTACGAGCTCCAATATATGCATACGGACAAAACACGGTTTCATCAGCTGACACTTTCGCATCTGCATAAATGCAAAAACACATACAGACAAAAAAAATTTGAAAGCAAAAATGTATATGGATAAAAAAGTCGGCAATCTAAAGTGACCATTTTGCAATAAATTTTAAAAATCTTTTTTTTCCAACATCAAAAAAGAAGGCCATTGGAAGCCTTGTTATCACTGTCCACTTCGTCAAATCATTATCACTTGAACCACTATAATGCTAAATGTAAGTAAATAAATAGCGGCGCGCACCACGGCAGCCGGTGCGATCATGCGTTTTGTGCAATCCCGTCCACCGAACGTCTGCCTGCTGGTGATTTTCACTGCTTTGCGCTTTGGTCTGTGCCAAAATAGTTGAAATGTTGTGTGGTCCTTAAGCTGCGGAATTTCCCATTAAAAATCA